CATCGCTCTTCCATCCCCCCCGAACTGCCACATCGCTCTTCCATCCCCCCCAAACTGCCACGAAACACTTCCATCCTATCCGTCACACGTACGCGTCTTATGTGCATATAAGCAGATGTCTGTACAGAAGTGCTAGAACGAACGTGTTGTATCACGCACCCGCCTTAGGAAGCAGACCGCCACCGATACTCCACGATCCTTACCGTTTTCTATTATATCCACCCTGTCCCTGGAGGCAACCACTACCCTGAACGTGGTCGTGTCCATCACCGCCTTGCTCTTCTTTAGAGTTCTACTGCGCAAGAACGACCCCCCCAGACGATACACTGTCGAGTGTGCTTTACGAATAACTGCTGTGTAAAAGGCATCACTCACTACCTGCTCTGTGAGCCCGCTGTCCCCGCTCACCATCAAGCACGCGGCCCTCGTCCAGGCTAACGCCTGCGGCTCCTGTCATCGCTGTCACTGTCACACGGCACTGTGCCGCACGAACCACCACGTTTCTGCCCGTGCGCACTGGGCGCCGTGTAGGTGCCGGCGGTTACGAACCCTCAGGACATCTCCCAGCGCAGAGTGTGTGTTCGAGTTCTCAGAGGACGCGTCTGGGAGTGCGACTGCTGACTCCCAGAGGAGGTGCACCTGCAAACTTTACTAGAACATGCCCTACTGTTTTCCAAAGTGGTTGCACCATCCGCGTCCCCGTCAGCGGAGGCTGAGAGCTCCCACTGCCCTGCGTCCTTACCCCGCTACCACCAGGCCCTGTGACTTCTGCCCCCGGGGTGGGGGTGCAGTGGTGGCCCCCCCGCGATCTACCCGGCTCCCCCCACGAGGCCGCCGTGCCACTTACTCTTGACATCCAGCTGGGCGGCGTACTTGGTGAAGCCCTTCAGGCAGACCTTCTCCCCGATCAGGGCGAGGAACTCCTCGAAGGCGGGGCCGGCCTCCTCGTTGTTGTACATCTCCTCCTCCGAGCTCTGGCCGGCCTTGCAGTAGAGGATGCCCACTTTGTGCTTCCGGCACAGCTGCAGAGGCGAGAGCAGCTCTGTGAGGCGGGCCCGGCGGGGACGTCAGAGGGAACGGAACAAAGGGGCTTTCTCAGCCGTGGCACCCAGGGAGCTGCCGGGGTCGCACAGCCATCCAGCACCACAGCCAGAGAGGAAGGAGAGAGGCGCAGGGGGCACGTCCCCGTTGTCCCTCTCCCTCCTTCCCATTTCAGAGAGGCACAACGAAGTGTCCGTGCAGCGGGCTCCTGTTCTCTCTACAGAGGGCCACACCACTCTCTCAAGAGTAAGAGACCGTGGCCTTGGCTGGCTCCCATAGCAGGTAGTCTGGAACTGGCTAAGATTCTGCAAAAGGAAATTCTCGAGGGCTCAGGGCTCAGCACAGTCAACACTGTTTTTAGGGGGTGGGCCTCCAATCGCATGTTTGTTCTGTGTCTCGCTCATTCCCCTGGTCACAGGGGACTGGACTCTGGACAGACACCTGACCTAAGTGTGGGCCAGTCAGAGGCTCTCCTGGGACTGACAGTCAGCCAGCTGGGGTCTGCAGGTAGCTGTCATTCTCGAAGTCACTCTGGGAGCTGTGGGAGGGTGGAGAAGCAGAGGGAGCCTATGTGCAGAGAGGGGGAGGGAATACCAACACGAACACGTACGCGTGCGCATGCACGCACGCACACACATACACACACACACCCCAGTGGCTGTCTCATCCTCATTTTTCTCCTGAGAACCCGGCACATCCCTGCTCTTGGCACCCTTGGTATTTGACAAGAGATCCCTCCTTTTACTGAAACTAGCTTCGGTGGATTTCTACTCTGAAAAAAAGAAAAAAAAAAAAACAAAGACCAAGACAGAAAGAGGTACCAGGATGGATTGCGGTGGCCCCCCACGCTGGCCCCCAGCTCACCCCTTGCTCGTCGAGCTTCAGCAGCTGCTCGGTCACCTTGGGAGTGTTGAGAGCCAGCCGCAGGCAGTGGATGTTGAGCTCGGGGATGACATACTCCAGGGCGTCCTTCAGGGGTAGGCCCCGCCCTGTCCCGTGCTTCGTCGCGGTGGGGGTGGCGTCCTCCAGGATAGAGCCCCGCAGGGTGATGAGCTGTTTCAGGGAGAGAAGGGCAGGTTAGGAGGCTCTTGGGACCTAGGAAGGGAACAGAGTCCTGTTCTCAGAGCAACGTGTGCGATGGTCCGAAGCTTGGGCCCCAGGGCCAGCCCTGGGTTTGGACCAGGACTTGAACTTGCTGCCTCTTCCCTGTGTGATCATGAGCGCCTTCAAATCTCTGGGCCTCAGCTTCTCTTTCATGAAATGAGTACAGTGACGGCATCACAGCCCCGAAAGGTGCCGGGAGGACTAAGCTGATGAGAGCACACCTTCGTCCGTTCAACAAATACCAACTGAGCGCCCCCGAAGTACAGCCCTGTTCTGGGTGCAGTGAATGAAACAAAGACCCCTGCCCCCACCCAACTGGCATTTAAGTGGGGAGACAGATTATGTCAGGTAGTAAGAAGTATAATGAATAAAACAGGCTCCATAAGGCGAGCACTCAATGAACACTCTGCCTTCGTTCCAGTATGTGTAAACGTATTACCATGGTTGGTCTGTGGTGGGGCCCAGGGATGTGTATGTGTGCATGTATGTATTCAGATTTATACAGCTGTGTATTTACACACATGTGAGCACACTCACGCACACACATAATCTTTTCAATGCCACTCAGGATTCTGATGGGTAGCCAGGACTGAAAACCTGAGTCAGCCAATCACGGCCATCTCATTCCCCTTTCCCAGATGGTGCTTTCCAAGTTTTTCCTATAGTGGGCCACATGATTAGCTCCAGGTAATGAAACGTGAGGGGCATTCAGCTTGGGAAGGACTTCTGGGGACATCTGTTTCCCTTAGTTAAAGGAAAGCCTTTCCACCTGCCCATTTCTTCTTGTTAAGGACATTGGTGTGAGGATAAGATGTTTGGAGCTGTGGCTTATGATCTTATCATCATGAGGAAAGAGACAAAAAAACCACAGAGAAGTTTATCTCTGCAGTTGCCTACCTCCAGACTTCTCATTAGAGAACTAAAGCAACCCTCTATGTGTTCTAGCTATGGTTAGTCAGGTTTTCAGGTTTACAGACAAAGCAGTTTCTGACAGACCTTTATAACAAAGTCCCATTTGTGAACGTGCTATATTCAAGGTACAAGAGTAATTATCTATTTCGATGTATAGGTCTGTTCAGGGGAGGTTTTGTTATCTCCATTTTACAGCTAAGAAAATTGAAGCTCTGGGGTGCCTGGGTGGCTCAGTTGGTTGAGTGTCCGACTCTTGATTTCGGTTCAGGTCATGATCTCTCTGGGTTGTGGGATCGAGCGCCTCGTTGGGCTCTGCGCTCAGCAGGGAGTCTGCTGGACAGTCTCTCCCTCTGTCCCACCCGTGTGCACACATGTGTGTGCTCTCTCTCTCTCAACAGATAAATAAAATCTTAAAAACAAAAACAAAAACAAAAACTGAAGCACTGAGAGGTTAGGTGCCTTCTCTAAGGTCACCAAAATTAAGTGACTGAACCAGGATTCCAATGCAGCCCTGACTTTTCCAAAACTCATGACCTTTTTCTTTGAAGGTTTTTAATTTTTTTTTTTTTTTTACCGGGAAGTATAATCCACATACAGAAAAGCACGCAACATATGTAAGCATAGCTAAAGGAATTACCACCGAGTGAACACCTAGGTAATCGCCACCAAATCAAAAAGATAAATATTTTCAGCCCCCCAAATCCCTTCTCCTCCTCCCCAAAGGCAACCCTACCCTGACTTCTAACTCCACAATTTATTTCTGCCTGTTTTTGAGCTTCATGCTGTTTGTATTCGTTTGTATCTGGCTTATTTCTCTCAATGCTTTGCATACGAGATTCGACCACGCTGCTGGGAGGAGCTGATGTTTTGCCACAACAGATGTAATCCAGTCTACCGCTGAGCACAGAAACTGCTTCCAGTGCTGGGACAACTATGAGCGCTGCTGTTAGGAACACTCACAGAAGCACCTCGTAGTGCACACGAACACATTTTCTTTTGGGTTTATACCCAGGAGAGGAACTGCTGAGTCACCTGGCATGTTAATCTTCAATTTTACCGAAGTTTTCCAAGTGGTTGTACCAATTTACGCCCCGCTTACCCTGAGAACCCCAGCTGCTTCGTGTCCCTGTTGCACCAGCTCTGGCTTCTGTCCACAACGTGAGCTGGCCATCAGGTGATGCCATGGGCAGGGCCAGGCCCTGCAGCTCCAGCGCCCCCCAAGACAGCACAATGGGGGGTCTGCAGCAATACCAGTAAAAATATCCTCCCTGAGGCGATTGTTGTAAGCACCCAGAACACACTTGAGGCTATGGTTTAAAGACTAAGGAGGATCAGTGTTAACTGGAAAAACATGCTGGCCCTAAGTGAACATGTTGACACAGGAGGTGGCAAAAACAATGTGTCATGACGTCGCCTCTAAGCATACAGCCCACCCTTTCCAAAAAGGACCTGGGCAAGAGGCATGCACGGAAGGAATGGAATGATGATCTCGTGTTTGGGAGTTCCTAGTTCTGGCCCCAGTAATTAATAAACAAGTACTCTCTTATCATGATCTTGAAACAGATCATGAAAAGCAATGATGACGGGTGCTTTGCCCTGCTGGTCTGGGAAGCCCTGGGACAGTGGGTTTCAAAGAATGCACCAACAGGATCAGCGTTTTTGTATCCTGCTGACACTGGCCCACAGCGCCCTCTGCTGGGCCCAAGGGGAAGCATGGTCCTCCACCTCATTCTTTCTCCCACACTAGAGACAGGTGGCCCCTCTACATTCTGGCTCTGAAGACTTAACCAAAAGCCACGACCTGAAAAGCTCCCAGCCTTTCCTTGTCTGCTGGGGATAATAAGTAGGGCACTGGCAGGATGCAACGAGTGGCCAGCCATCTCTAACCTCCACCTGGTCCTGTCCACCGTCATCACCTACCTGGCCTATGATAACAGCCCTACTCCTGGTCTCCCTGCTCCCGACCCGCTGCTCCCCCCTCCCCCCCGCCAGGTCCATCTTTCCCACAGCAGCTTGAGTCAGACCACACCTCTCCTCTGCATAGAATGGGCTAGTGGCTTCCCATCTCTCTCCAAATAAAATCTATACACCCTGCTCAGGCTGAAAGGCCCTGCGTGATCTCACCCTCAATGACACCTGTCATCATCTTACGGAGGATAACCAGTCAAGTGAGCCATAAGAAGACCTCAAGGCCATGTAAGCCGGGAGGTTTTGATTTGCACAGGTTGTTCAATGTTGGTTCCTGACTCAGATGCATCCCCTTCTCTGTTGGGCAGCGGGTGCACCCGTCAGGAACGTTTCCTGGGAAGTCACTGAGGTGTCTGTCTGCCTGGGTTCAAATCCTGACTGTACCCTTTCCCTGGCTGTGTGACCCTGGGCAAGATGCTTAACTTCTCTGTGCCTGTTTCCTCATCTATAAAATGGGGATAATAGCACCTACCTCCCAGGCTTGTAAAGATTCAATAAGATAGTCCACGTGCAGTGCTCAGCATTGTATACAGTGAGCGCTCAATACATAAGAGACATTATTATGGATACACACGTATCAAATGTGTTTGTACAAAGGCATATGCATAGTTAATAATTTAAATTTAATCTTTAACAGGAAGATACAGTTGGCTTTTCTCCCCATTTAACAATACTCTTTGGAGATTATTTCTATAAACACACACAATCAGAGCTACCTCCTGAACACAAACGAGGTCCTAGTCAATATACTGTTGCTCCTTGCTTTTTTCACTTAATAGGAGACTCTCCCTTTTCTACTTCGTACACTTATATACTTAAATTCTTAATGAGTGACTATTATTTTTTTTTTTTAAAGATTTTATTTATTTATTCA